TTTTTTTTTCTTTTCTTGTATTTTTTTCTTTTCGTTATGGTGACCAGCCCTCTTTTTTTTTCTCATTATTCTTAATAAATTAAAAAAAAAAAGAGTTATGTGCATAAGGGTTATTGGTTCACACATATTTTATCATCTCATATACACTTACACATTTATATGCGTATATATGTAATTGAATTACAGAGGAAGAGGGGGGAAATAATAATAATAATAATAATAATAATAATAATAGTAAAAACAAAAGAGCAGGGGTGAATCTAGGATCTAAGGTAAAATAAGAAAAAAAAAAATTTGAATAATCAACATGAGAAAACTGAGAAAGCCAAACGCAAATTGGAAAGGGCCAAAAAACAGCAAGGCTAAAACGAAAAGACAAAAGACACATATTGGCAGGCCGCTAATCTTTGTTTTTTTTTTTGTCTTTGTTTGTTTACTCTGGTCTCTCTATATATATACAATAATCCACTCCCATCCAACTACGGTGAATAGAAGGGAATGAAGTACATAAGAAACCAGAGACTGCCACATATCCACATATGCGTAGAAAGAAGGAATAGTAAAAAAAAAAAGAAGAATCCCAATTAGGTGTGCTAATATCTCGCATCTCTTCAGTAAACTATATATATATATATAAAGATTCATTTTCAATAGTCTGGCACTTCATTGGGCATAATAAACTTCGCCACCTCGCCGTACTTTGAACTGCTGTACTTTCGCCTCACAGCCTGATATTTGGTGGTGGGCACGTAACTCACAAACTCCAACATCACCACCGCACACGCCTTGAAATCCCGCACCTGCGCTTTACTGTAGTGCTGCAGATGTCGATTCCACACCGTCTCCCCTGCGAAGGAATATGTAATTCCATGTTGTTTAATCCGCAGAGTCACAAGGGCGAGAAATAAGGCGGCATTTGCATGTTGGGAAGGAACAAACTGCAGAGATTTGTAATCCAACATGCCGTGCTCCAAAAAGAAGAAGGCGGTGTGCCGCAATAAAGTCATGTATGCCGTCTGTTCCTCTTCAGTTGTTGTTGTTGATATTATTTTGGAATCCAATTGTTGTTGTTGGGCTCCCAGTCCCTCCACAACACTGAGTAGACGCACTAGGAATGGGAATGGTGTGGGCACCGTGAGGCGGAAGGAGAGCGCCGCGCAGATCCCGCGCTCCATCTTAATAACTTCCTCGCGGGAATACGTGTTGGCGCTAATGTGCACACACTCCTTCACCTCCGGCGGCCAAATCTCTTCATACTTCGCGGCCAGCAGCATTGCCGTGATGCCCACTAACTGCAGCTGCGATCGGGCCACGTAAGTTCCCGGCGAGCGTTTGGTGTTTACACAGGAGAGATAGCGGTCAAGGATGTTTACAGCCAAATACATGGTCTCAGGATGAAGTTTAAACTTTAAATGCACATCAATAAGCCAATCCACAAGAATCATACGCATCTTTTCATTTATTTCCGGTTGGTATGTTAAATACTTCGGGGAGGGCACAAGTTGGTGATTGGCCAACTCTCCTTCCATTTGTTTTTCTCTCTCCATATACATCGCGGTAACATCCTTTACAATCTCTGTGCAAAAGACGGGATCATCTTCATAATATTGATCCGCATGTGGACTTCCCGAACCTTCTCTGGTCTTCTCAGGCAATATATTACTGCTCTTTCGGTTCACATGGATGGAGTTTGCGTTAATGCCTTGAATACCAGAACGCAGCATTGTTGTTGTTGTCGTCGCGCAGGAACTAAGGCGATAAGAATCCACATTTGAACTAACACGTTGGGCGAGTCGCTGTTTTAAATCAGCGAGGCCACCAGAGAGATTGGAGACCTCACGAAGTGTAGTGGGGTTCATTTCTTTCTGATATAAATATATAAATATATATATATATATATATATATATATATATAT